GCTTTGACTTGGACAGGGCTGAGATTCTGGACGTGAAACATGGCTGTGAGCATGGGCTGCAGGAAGCAGGTGTGGTCCCAGCTGTGCACAGACCCTCCAGGGACAAACACTCAGGTCGCACTGTGCACAGCTGCAGTCCTCCCTCCCCCCACGCATGTCTACAGCAGCACTGCTCAGTGTCCGAGAGAGAGGGAAGCACCCCAAATGTCCTCCAACTGATGCATCAGTCAGCGAACTATGGCATTTCCATACAATTGGGTATTCCCACTCAGAAAGAGAACTTATCTGCTACGGCATGAACTCTGGAAACACACTGAGTGGAAAACGCAGGACAGAAACCACATATTGTGCCACCTATTCATATGACGCACTCAGAGCAGAAAACGTGGAGACAGAAAGGAAGTTGGTGGTTGTCAGGGACTGGAGCAGGGGGAGCTGGGGAACAGCTTTGGGGTATAGGATGCACTCAGACCCAGGTGACACCAGGCGCACAGAAGGCATTTGACATGCAGGACACGCCCCTTGCTGACACAGGCGCACGCTTGGGTCTGCCCTCACAGGACGTGTCACTCTCAGCACATACCTGGAGCCTCCCATGTGCACTGCAGTCAGACGCAGGACGCCCCTCTCCTGGAGCACGCGGCCCGAGAGCCCCAGGTCGACCCTGCACACCCCCTCTGCTCACCCGCCGCTTGCACTGCATACACTCAGGCGTGGATGATCACTTGAGCCTAGTTTGAAACCAGCTCGGGAAATGTATCACTTTCTACTGACCCTGAATATTTCTCTACTACAGTAAACATTTTTAGAAAAATGTTAAGGTATTTGTCCCCTCAAAGCCTCCTGCAGTCATTGAGACACAGTTTTAGTTTGTGATTAATTCCGGCCTGAGGCTGGGATTATGGGCGTGTGCTACACCCAGCCTATCCTGAATGTAATACTAGAGACAGAGACAGACTGGCTCTCTGTAGCCACGGCTGCCGCTGCCATGAAAGGCTACTCTGCCCTGTGCCACTCTGCCTTGGAGCCAGTGGAGCACGCACTGAAACCTCCAGTGACCGTGAGCTAAGTAAACCTTGCCTTCCTTCATTTTGGGTGTCGGGTATTTGTCCCAGCAATGAGAAGAGTAACTGAGACAAAAGCTTTTAAAATACACAGATCATATCATTTTGACGCTGGACACTGAGCCCTTGGTGTGCTTTACCCGAGCTGCACCCCCTCCTGCTTAGCCAGAAATTGATCCTCTGTCTGCTGGTGGCCATACAAACCACCTCAGCTAGTTAAGGGATGTCCCTAATACAACTGTGAGGCCCGAAAACTTCCTCCACATGCAGAAGGCCGTGTGACGCGGTGACTCCTAATGTCACGCGGGTAATGTAGTAAGTCCTCTCAGCCACTTGAGTTTACATGTCCAATGAACTTTGTGACAATGGAAATGAAACTAGCAAAAAGCTGAAAGGTGGTTAGTGACCCATGCACTGAATTCTGTGTTTAAATTCATAGCTAAGCAGTTGTATGTGGCCAGTGGCTGCCACACTGGACAGTGTTCTAGATGTCCGTGTCGGTTCTCCTCACAAGAAACGCATAGGAGCCTGCCGTTCAGGGTGGGCGCATATTTTCTTCTAGAAGTTGAAGCTATACTAAGCCCAACTGGTCTTGTTCCCTGAGCACACTACCCCACCCCTCCCCCACAGAACAAGTGACTCAGGAGTCCCTGAAGACGTGGACAAGCTGGCGGGGAGGCAGGTAGGAGCAACACAACAAACTGTAGACTGGAAGGAGTTGAGATTATTGTTACGTTTATTTTTTGAACTCGTAATTCTTTTTACATGTTTCAAAAATTCCAAAAATATAAAAAGAGTGAAAATATTCTTCCTCCTCCCTCTTTTCTTTCCCAAGACAGCCAATATACCTATTTCCTTACTTCCAGAGATCACATGTGCACAGCCATACACTTTTTACACCAATGAAGCACACTAGAGCTTTACACTGCACTCGTTTTCACTTCCCACGTTCACCTCTAAGGACGGGCTCCATTCTTAAGGCTCTGACTGCTATTCTACCCTAAGTTACTTAGCCAGTTCTCCATGGTGAATAGTTGTTGCTTACAAATTTTTTACTTTCAAAATCAATAGTATAATGAAAACTATATACAAACCGTTTACATATGTACAAATATGTTGTAAGATTCATTCCCAGCAGGTTTCCTGAAACAAAACCTTTCTGTATTTGTAATTTAGACAGTGAATGCTGGAAATACACAGGAAATGTCTCTACCCTTTGAGAAAACTTGAAGCTCGCAAAACGCTGAGTGAAGGGCGGGTGCATTGTTAGAATCCTCCTGAAAGGTAATTTTAAAAGCTACATGAATTCATTGACATGGAAAATGCTCCGAACATAGTAAAAAACACTGGTCACCAAGAACAAAGACCCCAAATTTCTACACACACACCCATGCACACATTCACAGATGTAATGTACACTCTGTTTCTACATGTTTAAAAAATTGCAAGGAAAGATTAGCAAAATCCAAATGGTAATGACTATCTCTGTGTGGCTAAGGTATTGGGAATTACATTTTATTTTATTTAATCATTTATTTATTTGGTACAGGGTCTTGCTACACAGCTGAGACTGGTAGTGATGCTCCCATCTCAGCCTCCCCAGTGCTGGTATTCTAGGTGTGCACCACTATGCCTGGTTTACTTTTTTAAAATTTTTAATTAATTAATTAATTAGTGGAACTGGGGACTGAACTCAGGAACTCAAGCTTGCCAGGCAAGTGCTTATTCTACTAAGCTATCTCCCCGGCCCCCGCCATGCCTGGTTTAATTCCAAGGCCGGCATGGCATGCTGTACTGGGTCCTTATGCTTGCCAGGCAGGTGCTTAGACCTGAGCTTTAATTCCTACGCTATCACCCCAGCCCAGGAATTAAATTAAAAGGGGGATATAAATAAAGGAGCGTTTTGTTGTGAAGAAAATGAAAAATGAAAAAATATATATGTATATACAAGATAGGATGGATAACAGCTTTTACTTAGTTCAATGAAGTTTGTACTAATGTTGCTTAGACAAGATATCATGTCTGCATCTTGTCCCCTGAATAAATACTATGAAGACAACAATAATTATTGTAACTGTCCTACTAACCTTTTTAAAACTGTTTCATTGCTATTTTATCTCTTTTTCTCATTAAAATGAAAAATGAGTTTTCATTAAAAAAAAATTCTGTGCACTTTTCAAGTTTTGGCTACAAAGAACTTGCATTTTTATAAACAGGTAAAACTATGATTTCTCCTAGGATACAGCAGTTTCCCCTGGGGAATTTCTGACTGTTCCAAAGCATCTCCAAGACTCATCAGTAGGAACACCACGACTGGACATGAGCTGAACTGAGAAACGACACCATGCACATCTCCATGCTTGCTCCTTCCACTTCTGCCCGTCCCAGTCTGTCCCAGGCTGACCCAGCAACGCTGCTGGGACCTGAGCCCTCCCAGCATCCACTCTGGGAAATGTACAAACATGGCCTCTTCAGGACCTGCTGTTTTGGGGTGATCATAGCTGGTTTACAGAGCTGTCAAGAACCACGATGCTACTATTGCTCCCTGGGCTGTCCCAAGTGTCCACTTGGCCCTGACGGGGTGGTGAGGAGGAATGGTCCCAAGTACAGTCTGGTACCAGGCTGTCCTATCTTGTGGCATGCCATTTCCCTCAGGGCAGTGGCAGCAGAGAGGAACAGACCTGGCTGGACGGGACAATGACAGTGTTGGGGGGGGGTGGGGGGAGAGACTTCTGGCTTGTGTGGCGGCAGCTGCCCAGATGACAACTGCTGTTGGGAGCTGAAGCTCCGGACCAGAAACACCAGACTCAGAGTCGGGATAAGGAACACAGCCAGGTATGGATGGAACCTGGGGACCCAGGGGGCAGGAAGGTGGCCGGGAGACTAAAGCCCCTGAAAAGGTGGAGGGGAGGGGGCACTGTAGGATGTGGCAGGCCTGCATGGGGGGGGGAGAGGGGAGGGCAGCTCCTGGGAAGGTGGGCACAGAGGTGAAGGGCTGCGATGGACACTGGGAAGGTCTTCCAAGAGCTGGGGGAGAAAGCCACCAAGGCTGTCAGCTACCTGCGCATCACCCAATTCCTGGGACCATGTCTCTTACCTGTGCCCACATAGGTGAGAAATGTGAGAGGCCACCTTCCTAAATCTCCTTATCATTAGGGTGGCTCTGTGACCCAGCCTCAGCCAATGGGTCATACCTGGGTATGCAATACTGGCTCCCAGGAGTCTTTTGTTCGCAACACCCTCGGGATGTTTCCCGACTGCTTCCAGTCTTGATTAAGGACGCAATGGCTGGAGCTTTAGCCATCTCACTGTGGCCATGAGGGAAGGCCGGAGAGCAGTGCGGAAGACACTGGTTCTGACATGGCACAGCCACTGGAAAGTCAGCCTTTGAACGACGTTAGTTTCAGCCACTGTCACTAGGCACTGACATCAAATTCGGACTTCCTGGCTCTGTAACTTCAGGCGGGTTACTGCTGTCTTCTGTTTAGTTATCTTCCTTTCTGGAATGGCACTCTCGCATAGACCACCACGGGCAAGTGTGCCAGAAGGCGCTCCTTCTCATGTAAAGGGAAACTTATCTGCTAAGATGAAACTGCGAAGCAGACAGGTCAAGGAATGGTGCAGTTACCGTAAAAAGGTAACCTGGGATGTGAAACCCAAGCCCAGCAAGCCCAGGTCTTGGCAGAGGCCTGTAGGACTGCTGCAGAGGTGAAGCAAAAGGTGGAGCCACAGCATCCTGGTGGCAAGCCCTGTGGTGGCACTCCCAGCGACCAGAGAACAGAGGAAGACCCAGCGAGCCACAGCAGCAGCACACGGCAGGTTCACCCATCCAGCCCTGGGACGCCAGCTGCGCCTGCATCCTCCAGGATGACCACTCGTCCAGCGCTCTGCCGGCCCCCAGTACTCCTGCAATTCAGGTTTAGGCACTGATTTCTTCAGGCTGATCTGTACACGCTGTCTTCCTTCTCTTCCAGTTCTGATGCAGATGGTGCGTTCAACGTCACTAGAATGCACTGCAGTGGAAACACCAAGTGGAAGAGCAACCTGGTTAAGGCTGGGCACCAACAGGAGCTGCTCTGTCTGACCCGAGGTGTCCCACTGGCACAAGCCCACAATTCGCTCCATTTCAGGTTAACAAGTAGTTTAAAGGAGTTAAGTCTTCCAGAGATAGAGAGTAGAAACAATTAAGATGGATCGAGTACAGTCGCTGCTCCCCCAAGTGAATGCAAATACCATGTACTGTGAATACATACTAAGAAAAAACATTTTAAGTAGGTTTATGTCCTTGGTTTTTATACTGCCTGTGTTATAAGACCCTAAAGGCCACATTTGGGGGGGCAGTGCTGGGACTGAACACAGGGTCTTGTACATGCCAAGCAACTGCTCTGCCACCTAGCTACTTCCCCAGCTCTGTTTAAATTTTATGATAGGCTTTTGCTAAGTTGCCGAGTTGCCCAAGGTACCTGAAGTTGCAATGTTCCTGGCTCAGGCTCCAGGGTAGCTAGAATTACAGGTGCTCCACCAGTGTCAAATGTGTGAAAGATCACATTTGATACGTGATGTTCTTTTTACATCAAGAATTATGTGGACAAAGGTAAAAAACCTTTGTTTTTCTTTGCACAACACTTGGAGGAAAGCAAAATGACAAGTTTTAGAGTGGACACTAAAATGTCTATCATGCATTATGTGGTGTGCGCTTGGTGGTGTGCTCCCGTCGTCCTAGCACTCCGGGAGGCCAGGCAACTCGGCAAGACCCCGACTCAAAAATTAAAAATGAAAAAGGGCTAGTGCTGGAGCTCAGTGCACAGGCCCTGAGTGCGATTCTTAGTATCCAAAGTAGCGCATGGCAGGTACTGTCAGGTGGGAATAAAATTTAGGTTTTTCTGTTTCTATTTTTGATAGAGGAAAGACTATATAAGAAACTAAGGGGGCCGGGGAGATGGCTCAGTAGAATAAGTGCTTGCCTGGCAAGTGCAAGGGCCTGAGTTCAATCCCTGGTTCTGCCAAAAAAA